CATCTATTCCATTCAAATACCTTTTATATAACTAAATACTTCACTTGAAATAAAGTTGAAAAAATCAAGAAGTTGGACCAACTCCCAAATTTCTGTGTAGTATTTCCTACATAAAAACATCATCAAAACATTGGTTGAATCTATATTAACATGAAAGTTTACCACAGTAATTTTGCATGCTTCCATGCAATTAATTTTAATGCAAATAACAGCATTGTTGTTTTGGTCCCTATTAGAATAGGTTGTTGTACAAATAAAATATTACAGACGTATCTTATTCACTCATCTTTATAAACTGCCTCAAATATTGTGTTGGCCAAAAAGTAATTGCGTTTTTTTCTGGGTAAATGAAAGGTAAATTTTTCATGGGAAACAAAACCTTTATTAAACAATACAGTGTCCATTTTGTAAATTACCTTTTGCTGTCTTTTAGGCAAGTTCATGATTCCGTGCTCAAAAAAATTCTTACCTTTTTTGGCAAAAAACAGTTCCAAGAACGACTTGATATCCTCATCAGCAGTGAAGGTTTCACCATTCAAGGCATTTTGTAAAGAGCAAAACAAATGGCAGTCTGATGGTGCCAGGTCTGGCGAATACGGCGGATGTGGTAACACATCCCATCCAAGCTGCAACCATTTTTGACGAGTGACCAAACTTGTATGGACACAGCACCTTGGCTATTCACCAATTCTGGATACTTCTGTTTGATGGCATCATTGAATTTATCCAGTTGATGTCAGTACATGTCCAAATTAATGGTTTGGTTCCTTGGAAGCAATGTAAAATACACAATACCTTTGAAACCCCACCAGACTGACAGCATAACTTTCCTTTGGTAAATATCTGCTTTTGAAGTGCTTTGAGATGGTTTATCACACTTGCTCCATGATCTTTGTCATTCATTGTTGTTGTAGACGATCCTTTTGTCATCACCAGTTATTATACGTTTCAAAAATGGATTGCTTTCTTCACGTTTCAAGAGAGAATCGCAGATGTCAAAGCGCTTAGTGAGATGAATTTCTTTGAGCTCATGTGGTACCCAAATATCGAGCTTCCTAATGTATCCAAGTTGTTTTAAATGGTTTTCAACGCTTGGTTTCTACATGTTAATATTATCAGCAATCTCTTGTGTTGTTAAACGCCGATTGGATTAGATCAATGCCTTTATTTAGTCGTTATTAACTTTGCTTGGCCTTCCTGAGCGTGGTACATCTTTAACATCAAAATCTCTGAACTGAAATTTAGCAAACCAATTCTGACACTGCTTTAGATTTAAGACATCTTCATATAATACAGCAAAATATGACAAAGATGTTTCTTTTGATTTTCCATTTTGAACTCAACGCCAAATAAATAATTGTGAACAAAGTCGTGCCCTTTCTTTTTCTAAATCAAGCTTGAACTGTCAGCTGTCAGGTTACATAATGAATTTGTGGTTTAACATAAAGTTAATTACATTTCAAGGCATGTATATTCATTTACTAACAAAAAACGCAATTATTTTTTGGCCAACCCCATAAATCTTACGTTTGCCTGATTTATGGTACCTAAAGCAAGGCCTGTGTGTCTTCAAATGGGGAAAAAAAAACCCTCGGAAATTTTTCTGAATTCCCCCTCCTCTCCTAGAGGCAATCCAGCCCTTTGTAATTAGACTGATGAGAGGATAATTCAGTCTCTCTGCCATCAACCCTCTGCCTCTCTGCTCAGTCTGCCAAAAGCTGCCATTTCCTGGCATGAGTATCTGTTCTCTGGCAATCACTAATCAAACTGTTATCATGTGGGCTATCTACAATTCATCAGTGGTTACAGCTGCCTTCAGCTTGGGCAAAGTTCAGAACATAGGGAAAAAAAAAAGTTAGATCTCCATAGTTAGGAACATAAGCTCTTAGATCCAGTGCCATCACCTCCAAACAATAGGTAACAACTTCACCTGGATCTCAGGGTATTTTACTTTAACAGCAACAAGTTTATACATATATTTGGATTCCAATTAATTATTTACCTTTCAAGACATATGTCCATCTATTAAAAAAAAAGCTCAATTTTTTTTTTTGGCCAACCAAATTCATTAGATTTGCTTGCTTCTTTCTTTATAAAGTTGACATTTTCAAAATAAAGCAGCAGCAAAAGACTCAACCCCCAAAAAATACAATGTGCAACACAATCACATATTATGTTAAACTAGCAGGATGCTACTTCTAAGGCATATCTAACATTATTATACTATGACAAGATACTACATCACTTGAATTCCTTCAGCTGAATTTTAGAGTGCCAGGAGATGAATGATTTTATGTAAAAATAGTTCTTATTGGCAAAAATCTCTCCAGCACTCATTAGCTGTTATGGATCAATTATGGAAACAACCTCTGAAAGAAAACACTTTTATTGCTTAGTGTTTGCTGCAATGTAGTCTCGAATAGACAAATTATCCTTAGCAGGAACAGCTACACTGGAATCCATGAAGATTAGCAGATTAAAACTAGTTAAAAATCTAACAGAATGTGAAATTTGTTTCCCCAGACCTTAGTATTTTAAACTAACTTTTATTTCATATCATTAACTGTGATATCATTAACTTGACCCAAATCCCACTGTGGTACATGCTTTCCTCTCCTTTATGCTTGCATCCTCTGTCCCTTGAAAAATGTTCTGTAAGTAGCAAGATGGAAGCTGAGAGCATGTTAGCACAAATCCTGTCTTCATCATGCTTGATGCAACTTTGTAAGTAGAGTATTAGGCTGTTGGTGATACAACATGCTTCAGACTTCACTGTGTTTATTTTAGATAGACATATAGCAATAGTTTATAGGTGAAGGGGTTTTTTAATTTGCTTTTGTTTTTATCTTCAGTGCACTTGTCTGTAAGTGATTTAATAACCAGAGTATCAGTTCAAAGCTCAGTCAGGCTACCCCACCCCATGAAACATCAGGGTTTATATTTAATTCAGTCATGAAGGCGTGGAAATGAACATAATACCAGAGCATGGGCCTAATCTTCATTGTACAATATGTGGGCCAAAAGGAGATACTACACAGTAATGAAAGTGCTGAAAAAGCCTTTCAAGGGTCTGAAAGATCCTGGAAGTGCTTTAAATAGTAATAGTAAAAAAAAAAACAAACCACAACTAACATAATGCATAAAGGATGCTAGTGTTTTAACATTTACTTTTATGTCAGCTTCAATGGAGGAGACAACAATGTTGTGGAATATTTTAAAGCTCAGTACTGTAAGTCTTACAGGAAAAAGCCCCACTAATAAAAACAACATTGAAGAGGCTAACTAGATAAGTAATTTTCCCTGCTGTTAATTTTTAAGACTCATTTGGTGTCATCCCCTACATAGAAACTGATTTCTAATGCAGTTACATCCTGTCTCTATGTAGTCCAGTTTGAACACAACATAGATTATCTTGGGGACTTATAATGCATATGTTTATAAAAAGGAAGGAACAAATAAATAATGCTGTCTTTCTATCTGCTGTCTTTAATTTAAAAGGTCACAATTGGGAAATTTTCAGCTTACAGAGGACAAGCATAAAAGAAAAATGGAACATTAAAAGAAAAAAAAACAATAAATGCATAGAAATATATTAGAGGAAATGTTTTTCTTTTAAGAAAATGAAGCCAAATTCATATTAAATAATCAGAGTATAAGAGAACTTCCACTGTATACAGAATATCTATGAGGTAATCTGTTTTACTGAACAGTTATAATGTGGTATTAAAGGATGCCAGTAGCTGAAACTATAACCTGTTTCTGTAATGAGTCTACAGAAGGACTGTGGAGAAAAAAGAAGAGCTGAGCTACTAAGAACAGCAAGAGAAAACAGAGCCCAATTATATCAGCTCTTCACATTCTCTAAGCGTGGGAAAGAAAAGACTTGCCATCTCTCTCCCTGTAGCAGGCTGAGCTGATAGGAACAAATGTTAAATACAGACTATATTTTTACTACTTGTATCCTACAATGTAGGAGAGGGAATTTAAATATTCATATTTTTTCTGTCACATAACATTAGCACTGCATATTGCTGTTTCAAAAAAGAGGGAGGCTATTTCTTTCCCATGGTTAAAAAGCCAAAGGTATACACATGCTCATATTTTCAGATATGATTCTGCAATTACTTGCACAAAACCACACCTATATTTCCACTCAAGGTCCACTCATTTTTTTCATATATGGCAATGCATTTACGTATATGCCTTTGTATTATTACAGTCACTTCAAATATGGTTTTGAAGATGTGAGAAAAGATCAAACCACATTGTACATTAACTACTTAGATTAGTCCTTGCAGTTCAGTGAATTAGTCCACCTTGAGACTGCTCACATAGCATTTAGGAGGTCTGACCTGGAACTTTTAGAGCAGCATAAGATGCATACATTTGATGATAACTATCTTGAGCACAGATATTCCTAGGCATGCAGATGCCTAACCTCCACAGAAATGAATGGGAATTGGATGTCTAAATGCCTGTGAGGACTTGAGAGCTGGTCCATCCTGCCTCTGGGTTACTTGTTTTTCTATCCAGCTGCCTCTGGTATCCTACACAATATACTATCATCAACTCACTGGACTGCGTTACTGATTTTGCATCAATGCACTAGATGCTACATAGACATACTCCCTGTGCCCTTGGAAACATTGCCTAGTTACACTTGTACACAGCATAGAAAACTTGCAAAGTGGCTGAATTGGTACTCAGTGCTTTCCAGGATCAGAACTGAGGCTAAAGAAAACACTTCAGAAACAGCAATCATTTACTAGTCTTAACTGGCACTGAAGATGGGAGGATTTAAAGAGCACTAGCATGGCCTCCCTTGAAAAGCAATAAGCAAGAAGAAAATGTTAGAAAAAAATATTGTTTTACAAGACATTCATTCAGAGGAAAAACACGTGTACAGAAAGCTTCCTCCAAAACAGGTAAACTGGCCAGGAGGACTGTCTCCAAATTCTTGTCAACTTGCAATTGCTAACATAAAAAAAAATTATACTCACCATCTCCAGGCACTGACATGAAATGAGCATTAACCCATTTTTCATCATCTCCGTACTCATTCTTTGCTATTAAGGTATAAGCACCATTGTTCAGATGGGTAGGGTTGTCCAGCTGAAGGCAGCCATGGTATTCACTTTGATTGATAACATGTATTTTAGTACAGATGTATTCAGACTCATTCAGTATAGCCCCTTCATAGAACCACTGCAATGTGGGCTTAGGGTTGCCTTTCACAGTGAATGGAATACACCAGTGGTGGTCCGGGGTTGGAGATTCAATAAATGTGATACTTGGTGCAACTATGTTAGGAAAAAAAGAGTGAAGAACATCAGAATATCCTGAACGTGCCTTTTTTTTTCTCAGGTTATCAGTGCTAAAATATGCTACTTGAAGGAATTATACCCATTTGGAGGATACTCACACAGGAAGCCCACCTGCTCTGCCTTGGGTATTGTGCTCACAACTGAAATGAAGCCATTCTTTGGAAAGAAATAAAACAAACTAGTTTCAGACAAAGTGACCCCCCCATTAAACCACCTACTCTGCAAGGTGTGGAAAATTCAATTACCAGATCACTGAGAAGGGAGATGGGGTAATTTTAGCTTTATTGTGCTGATAAAATGGCAGAGAGGAATGCTGAAGGAGCAAAAATAGTACTAAAAATATTTAAAAGTCAACTAAAAGCACGTAGTACTGGAAATATATTCAGCTAGGAATCCAAACTTTCAGGTGACTTCTTGAAAAGAATCAAAGCCAGAACAGCTGATTTCATTTCCTGGATTCTTCTGTCAAGGAAGGACCATTTTCTACTATACATTATCTCATTCTTTGTTCAAACATGCTAAATGCCTCAAGTTTACAGACTTCTGTTTCCCTCAGGAGACTATTCCAACACCTTGTGCATTATTTCGCTGTTAGGAAATTTTCCTTGATATTCATTCTTAACTGCATCCAATTTCATCTAGTTATACTCCCTTTTATCAGGCATAACAGTGCCAATCTAACAATTTCATTTACACTGTTCAAACATTTCTAATTTATGTCCCTTTCTATAGCTATTACATATCTAATTTCCACCTACAAAACATTTAAAGTGTTTCTAGAGTGATTTCTCAAGTTTACTGTCATAAGCACGTGCTGAAAAAAATTTTACATCTACAAAGCATTCCATTCCCATCTTCAATTAAACAGACAGTTGCAACTTGTGAAAACATATTTCACGTAAAATGAATTCAGGCTGGAATCTCCAATCTAAGAAGCCAATGCTTCTATAACGCATGTCCCTTTCCCCTTCCTTGGCCCTGACAAATAATTATTCAAAGCTATGACAAATAAATTTATATCTGGCAGAACAAATGATGCAAGTGTGTTATTTTTTGAACAAAGTAATTGTTGGTTTAGTTAAAAAGACTTTACAATTTGTAGTTGATTATAAAATAATTTCTATGACTTTTGATGCATTAATGTTTCTTCATTCCTAAGATAGTGTATATGTATATGCACACCATTACAAACCTGTTCATAGTGACAGTACCACTGAGTATTTGGGGTTTTAGACATTTACTTACAGATTGCTCAGACTGAAAGATAAAGCATTTAGAATCAGAATTTTTGCAGAACTCAGAGCAGAAAAAGGTAAAAATAACTGCTCATTGGGCTATTACCATAATTAACTGCAATAGATTCAGTTCACATAGTTCACATGCTTAAAGGGTGTTTCTGTTTCAACAACCTGTGTGCCCGACAAATATTTATACCCAAAATAGTTATTGCCAATGTGGTTTAGCCTGCTTACGTACAGAACACTGTGAGCTCAGCAGAGGCTTGTTCCTCTCCCACAATATTCTCTGCTACACAAGAAATCCAAAGTCCACTGTCCACAGATGAAACGTTCTTTATGATTAGTGAGGCAGGTTTCTTACTTGTGTCACTCTACAAATGATCAAAAAATATGGATGTACCAAATATGGCATAAAGAAATAATGAAGAGAGGGGGAACCATTGTCCACAGTTCAATAGCATTTTCCATTTTCCCATCCTTTTGGCTGTATCAAACTGTAATTAATCAAAGCATTACTTTGGTGTCTTATCAAAACAGATGCAAAACACCTACAGAACCAATTGTAACCATCAGTAGCAGTGGATTCAAAGCCACAAAAACTCATTAATTTTTCCACCATGTCACTTTGTTTCTCCCTTCTTTTGACACCTCTTTCTCTCTACACAAATATTTTTTTCTGCACCCATTCCCTTGCTTATCACTCTCTTCAGTTTCATGATTGATTTCTATGGTCTGTCTCTTATCTCTTTAATCTTTTTATTCCCTCCTATATTCTGTTCAGTCCTTGCTTTGCTCTTCCTTTTATCTCTTTCATTTACAGTTAGCTTGACTTCTCTTCTACTACTGCCTTCTAAGCTCTACTACACCTTGACAACATCATGTCTTCTCCCTCCTCCTTAGCCAAATGTCTCTTAAAAGCTTCTTGCTATCATGGAATCTACCACAAGAGAGTAAATCCCTTCTACTAACAGAACTACTGCCCAAGTGCTGTTTTACTGTGCTTGATCACAGGCTAACTGAGGTAAGAATTATGATTTACAGAAAGTTCAGTGCATTAAATGCTATAAGAATTATGCAGCTATGCTACATTGCATAAAGTAAATTACAAAAATTAATTACAAAAAAAGAAAAAAGTAATTACAAAGATTTTTTTAAAAAATAACAGCTAGCAAAGCTAGTTGTTAATGCCTCTGTTATCTTAAATTAGTTCCTTAAAATGACAGCAAAATTAATTACTATTTCCATACTTGAATTTTTCATAAAATGCAATATTATTTTATTAAAAAGGAAAGGAACCAAAACAAATTTAGAAAATAAACAACAGTTAGGATGATTGTTTAAAAACGCTTTTTGGGGTACTTATTGTACACATGCTTTGAAACTGCACAGAACACAAGCAAATGATATGCTGCACCTGTAAAACCACATTGACTTCCAGTGGTAGACAATGGGGACATGTGGGAACACTCCTGCATACAGGATTGCAGGACCAGAATTTTAAATGACACCTCAAATCCACTTAAGTCAAATGTCCCATTGATTTCACTGTGACACTGGGGCAGGAAGAGTGGAAAAGCCAACACCCCAATGAATGTTGCTCCATGTGCCACTCTCAGAGGTGAGCAGTCGTCAAAACAGGAGTCAAAGCACAGGGCTTCAATTGCAGGCTCAGGCTGAAACATATAGCAAGAAAAGTCTAACTAACATTAACCAACTTATACATTAAGATGAAAGCTGAGCATGTGGTTAATGTTGCAGGACTGAAGCCTGGCTTTCACTTTTGCTAACAATTCTCCTTGTAAAACAGGAAAGAAAACCAGGCAGAAGCAGCATAGGAGGTTAAGAAAAGGGAGGCAGAAACAAAGGTATGGAAGTGAGAAAAAGGAAGCCAAAACCAACATTCACAGAAAAAGAAAGCTGTGAATGGCAAATGAGATTAAAAAGGCACTCATTCTTCTGCTACTGAAAAGACTACTGTGTTTCACAGCTATATTATAAGCCCATTCACAAAGTTATGTTAGGATAAAAAAGGTTTTCAGGAAAGCTCAAAGCAAACTGAACATGGCATTTGAAAGACAGGAAGGTTGTCAATGAAAAACTCAACATGAGCCAGCAGTGTGCACTTGCAGCCCAGAAGGCCAACCGCATCCTGGGCTGCATCAAAAGAAGTGTGGTCAGCAGGGTGAGAGAGGTGATTCTGCCACTCTACTCTGCTCTGGTGAGACCCCATCTGGGGTACTGTGTCCAGTTCTGGGACCTCTAACATAAGAAGGGCATCAAGCAGTTGGAGCAGGTCCAGAGGAGGGCCACGAATATGATCAGAGGTGCTGGAGCACCTCCCCTACGAGGACCAGCTGAGAGAGTTGAGATTGTTCAGCCTGGAGAAGAGAAGGCTCCAGGGAGACCTTATTGCAGCCTTCCAGTTCCTGAAGGGGTCCTACAGGAAAGCTGAGGAGGGACTTTTCACAATGGCAGGTAGTGATAGAATGAGGGGGAATGGTTTTAAACTGGAAGAGGGTAGGTTTAGACTAGATATTAGGAGGAAATTCTTTGCTGTGAGGGTGGTAAGACACTGGAACAGGTTGCCCAGGGAAGTTGTGGATGTCCCCTCCCTGGAGGTGTTCAAGACCAGGTTGGACGGGGCTTTGAGCAACCTGGTCTAGTGGGAGGTGTCCCAGCCCATGGCAGGGGGGTTGGACTGGATGATCTTTAAGGTCCCTTCCAACCTAAACCATTCTATGATTCTATGATTCTATGATTCTATGATTCTAAGGTTAAAAAAATGAGGTGGTCTTACTTTTTGAACAGTATTTCACATTTTTCTTGGCTCATGACTCAAAAAAAAGATATATAAAATAAATAAAACCACAACTGCATAAATTCCTCAAACTGTTTTAATTTCTTGTTCTTGTTGATAACTGATGCATTTGGGTAGTTTTACACATTAGAGAAAAGCTTAAAAATAAAACTAGAGCTCTGCAAAGCTCTTATGAAAGCCAAAAGACAGGCTAGTCAAATTCTACATAAGCCTAATGTAATGACCTCAGTGAAGAAAGTGCAGGGGTTAAGAGACTTCAGAGGTCCGGTCTATTCCAAACTGCAGGAACAGTTTTGGAAGTACACATCACACACTTTGTACAGACTAAAAAGCTTTAGGCAGTCTGTACTCTAATGAATGCAGGAGAGCCGATGACATAAAATTGTAAATAATAGAGGGTCTTGCACAGTGTAAATAATGGCAATTTAGGAGGTCAACAACTGCATTTTGAAAACCTGCTGAAATGCTTCTCCTTATCAACATCTCCATCAGAAAGAACTTAATCAGTATATCTCCACTGCACACACAGTCTAAAGCAGGTACACAGAATTCCAGGATCTCAGGAAACAAAATTCCCACTGTCTGTATGGGTTTATTGAGGAAACATTTTCATACTTCATAAGAAAATTTTGCCATAGCAAAACTTTGACTTTTACTTTCATGACTCTCTTGTTATTTTGTTTTGTTAAAGGAACATGAAACAAACCTCAAAAATAATTAATATTTACAACCAAAGTTGGCCTAAAAATTTAATAAAATTAGAGACACAAAGCTTTTCTCTCAATTTCAGTAGATAGGACTTGTTCTCTCTATGCAGGTATTTGTGATAATAACAAAGTATTTAAGCTTCAGTATCCTGATTCACTACATTACTTCCAATCAATTACAGCACTCTCATTTACAAAAGAACATCCAAAAACTTAAGTGCAAATTACTTTCTCAAGTAATGAATGTTTGACATTTTCCAAAAGCATTGCAGCAGTTACCATGGTCTGAAAGTAACTGGAAAATAAATGTAAACCTAACATTAATTTACTATTTCATATTTTTAATAAAAACTTAATTACAGACAAGGGTTTATTTCATCCTTTGGCAGATATCTTGTCTCTGAATTGACACTTATTTGAATATGAAACTTACCTCATGGTTTGAAATAAGATTAGTGAGCACCCAGGATACATTAGGGGGCGGCCCTCCAGTAGTATCACAGTACAATGTGATGCTCTTTCCTTCCACCACGGTGATGTTGTAATTGCTTAAGTTTGCTGAGGGCAAGTCTATGATACAAGCAAAAAAAACCACAACAACAAAAAAAACACACCCAAAAAACCCACCACACGTATTTGTGTTTGCCAGAAATAGATACTGCTCAATTCTGTGGGAAACATATAAATGCAATCAAAATCACTGCTTACTTAAAATTCACTGTGGTCAGTTATTGTTCAGGAAAGGAGTACTAACAACATTGTTGGAGATATATAAATACAGTCCTTAAGCTACTACATTGAATTTTTTGAGCCTCCTTCATTTCACATCCAAAGGAAACATTCTAGCATTTGGAAACACATTAAGCTAATTATAGAGGGAAATATTCCAGGTGGGCAAATAGGAGTTATCCTAACTTCAGGTTTTAACTTAAAAAAAAACCCATTTTGTAACACAGGAAATTTAATCTATTTCTGTTGTAGCAGTTGTAACGAAATCTCTATTTTCCAGGGACTAATTCACATTAAGGTATTCTCGCTCTTCTCTACTACAGTTAACGTGAAAAATCCCATTACCCCATGGTATCACATAAGAGATTGAAGCCCTCCCTCTCATACCGAGAGCTCATAGACACAAGAGCAAAACTTAGAACTTCAAGTACAAAGTGCACAAAAAGGAAATAAAGCCCTGAACAGATCAAATGACAGCAGAGAAAAGACAGAAGAGATGACCAGTGACTGCAGAGAGCTGCTGTCCAGGGCACTTAAGCAGACTTAACTATTGCCCTCAAAAAATGAAGGAAAGAAGAAAAGCTGCAAGATGGTACCACTCATCAATAAGCCAGCCTAGGTTTTTCAAGAGCCAGGACTCTCCCACCATCTCACAAAGCTATAAACTACTTGATATCTCATTTTTCTCATTCTTCAGCATCCAAAATAATGGGAACTTTCAAAATTATAATGGCACCAACTGAGCCACCAATGTGCATCTGCAGCCCAGAAGGCCAACTGGATCCTGGGCTGCATCAAAAGTGTGGCCAGCAGATCGAGGGAGGTGATTCTGCCCCTCTATTCTGCTCTGGAGAGACCCCACCTGGAATACTGCCTCCAGCTCGGGAGTCCCCAACACAAAAATGACATTGAGGTGCTGGAGAGTGTGCAGAGTAGGGCCACAAAAATTATCTGAGGGCTGGAGCACCTCTCCTATGAAGACAGGCTGAGAGAGTTGGGATTGTTCAGCCTGGAGAAGAGAAGGCTCTGCAGGGACTTTATAGCGACCTTCCAGTACCTGAAGGGTATGATATAGAAACAGGTATAGGAAAAGGTATAAGAAATATGAGGAAGACCTATTCACTAGGACATGTAGTGATAGGATGAGGGGTAATGGTTTTAAACTAGAAAAGGGTAGATTTAGGTTGGATATTAGGAAAAAGTTCTTCAACATGAGGCTGGTAGGTCACTGGAACAAGTTGCCCAGAGAGGTGGTGGAGGCCCCATCCCTGGAGATATTCAAGGTCAGGCTTGATGGGGCTCTGAGCCATCATCTAGTAACATTGTCCCTGCTAACTGCAGGAGAGTTGGACTAGATGATCTTTAAAGGCCCCTTCCAACCCAATGCATTCTATGATTCTGTGCTGAGTGCTTCTAAAAACCCAACGCATTATAGATTATGTTGGAGCTGACCGACTTCAAAAATATTGCCAGGAATATCAAAAGACTTTAGGCATGCAAGACCTGACTTCATATTTATCTGCACAGAAAATAATTACATAATGTGTTGGATATTTCTTCAGAGATACTGCACCATCATTTGGAGCTCCTAGACATTGTAAGAATCCTTACCTTCAATTATGAGGCATTTCTCATCAACAATTCCAGGGAAGTTTGACTTGTAATTTATTCTCTCAAATAACAGAACTTATTTGCTGTGCTGGATATGTATGTATGTATTGTGTTTACATGGGAAGGTTTTGGTAGTGGGGAGCTGCAGTGGTGGCTCTTGTGAGAAGATACCAGAAGCTGCCCCCATGTCACACAGAGTCAGTTCCAGTCAGCTCCAAGATGAACCTGCTGCTGGCCAAAGCTGAGCCAAGCAGTGACAATGGTGATGCCTCTGTGACAATATATTTAAGAAAAGGGTAAAAAATTATGTGCAGCAGCTGTGAGAGAGAGGACTGAGAAAAAAAAAAGTGAGAGAAACAACTATGCAGACACCAAGGTCAGCGATTCTGACCTCTGAGTGGGAGGGGGTGCTCCAGGTGACAGGGCAGAGATTCTCCTGCAATCTGTGGTGAAGACCATAGTGAAGCAGGTTGTCCTCTGCAGCCCATGGAGGTCCACGGAGGAGCAGATATCCACCTACAACCCGGGAAGGACCCCACGCTGGAGCAAGTGGATGTGTCCAGAAGGAACCTGTGACTCCATGAAGAGGACTTCATGTTGGAGCAGGTGTTCTGGCAGGACCTGTGGCTCCACAGGGGACCCACACCAGAGCAGTCCATTCCTGAAGGACTGCAGCCTGTGGGAAGGACCCATGCTGGAGCAGTTCATGAAGCACTGTATCCCATGGGAGAGATGCCACGCTGGAGCAGGGGAAGAGCGCAAGGAGGAAGGAGAGGCAGAGAAAATGCATTATAAACTGACTGCAACCCCCATTCCCCATCCCTCTGTGCAACTCGGGAGGGGCAGAGAGTGGTATGTCAGGCAGGGCATGGTGTGGCGCAGCAGTTTGCACAGAAGGGCGCACAGGAAGGGTGGTGAAGCTCTGCCAGCTCAGGAGGTGAGTTCAGTTGGTGCTCATCACCCTCTCAGAAGGAGCTCGGCTATGGTGTCCACACGACAGAAAGCTCTGTCCTCTGTGCCTGCGATTTGATGAGTGGACCATTCAGTGGATAAG